CATCTGTGTGTTATCATTTTTTATCATTAGTTTAATTAATAAACCACAGAGAGTATTGCAAAAACCATGCCCTAATGTAACTGAATTACTTATGAAAAACAGCAGTTCCAAAAGTGATTACTGTTACTAGTAAAACCTCATTTAACCAAAATAAGCTACCCACCTTTCATCCAGGAAAATGCAGTGTAAATCTGTGAGCCTGAAATTTTAAAATATTCAATCAGCTAAACTGCAACAGATCCCTTTTATCTGTCAAGTTCTATATCTCAAAAGATACTCGGAATGCCATATTTAATGAAGTGCGATTAGACTAAAAAAGGATAACAAGATCTAATAGAACACAACAGAAATATCCTGAAACCAAGAGAAACACAAGATTGCAAACCAGTCAGCAAAATGTCCCTGTAGTGAATGCATATCTCAAGCAATGTGTTAGGACTAGAGCTGGAGCATTTCTGTTTCATTCTCAGATTTTCTTTGTGCAGTTTAGCCTGATTTCACCCTTGCTTCCTTCCTCATGAATACAGGATGTTCTTTGTACTTAATATGAAAAGAAAACCTCATTTTTCTTCCATGGCTACAAAAAACAATTTATGATGGATATAAAAAAATATATAATATTTTTATTTCTGGTATATGGTAGTAAAATTATGTTAATTTCAGTGGAACTGTTGTTTATCACCAGTCACATCACATCCAGTAAGTGGAGTAAAGCCTTCACACAGTTCCTGCTCAAACTCTTCCATTTTTAGGACTGTAATTAGTGAAATATTGCCACAATTTGACCGCAATTTTGTTTTCTTGTGATAACATACATCTCTTCTGAGTTAGAAAACTGTTGGATTGCTCTGACCTGACCCAAGGGGAAAAGTCTTGAATGCAGCAGCATCAGGGTAATGGGAGTGAAAAGGTCAGACACTTGTTTCTGTCGCTTTTGATGTTCAGAATGTGGAAATAGCCGCAAGCATTAGGCAACAGTGATTATCATTTTTGTATTGCCTACCCCACCAGTGTTACTGCTTTACAGTAGTCCTGTGCCTGATGGGACAAGTACAGTGTGGAACCTCTATTAAAGAGTTACTCTGTGCTTATTTTAACACAAGCAGAAATTAAAGGAAATTCTGTTCTTCGTGACACCAGGGCAAATGCTCCAATATCGCATGGGATTACTCCACAATACCACTCTTATCAATGCAGATTATGGACTTCACTCACTGTAGGCTGGTTCTTGCTTCAATTTAGTTTCAGATGAAGTCAAAAATCTACAGTCACTTAGCACAGCTTTTGCATATGCCTGGCACATCCCATCATTGGTTTATTGCTACAGGACTTTTGATGAAACTTGCAGAGATAGCCAAGAAATTGCCTTTCAGGCCAGATTTGGATCTTGATTAAACCTAAATAATCACATGAAAGGCATCTGAGCTGCAATAGGTGTATGCAGAAATTATAGAAGTAAAGATCTGTTAATTATGATTTTGTTGCTAGCTTCAAAATCTTTCCAAAAGGAAAACCAAAGGGCATCAGTGGGTAGCATGCATCATGCAATCTGTGTAGCAAGGTATGAATGGAGCATGAAATAGAAAATCCTCGCTCAGTGCTTTGACTCAATAAAAACAACACAGCGATGCATAGGACCCGTTCACATGTATTGCAGAACGGCAAACATCAAATGTGATTCAGCCAGCTATGTAGGTCTTAAATCTTGGACTGAGTTTCTGTTAGCAGAGCAAAAAAAAGCCCTCAATTTCACTGGCAGCTTTACAGCTGTCATCCATTATGCTAGAGACCTACTAAAATTTAACTCTTGATAATGAAGATTCAATTCACGTGGTCTGAAACAAGTTTATTTCCAGGAATAGATGGGGCTGAGCACAAGGAATCTTTGTTTTCATTCTAACACTTTTATATGGTTGGTTTTTCTTTTGGCCTCCTGTTCATAGGCATAACTCTGCTGTTTAACAACCCTAAGCCCTGTGAGCTCCTTTAGATCCCTTCTTGTTCTCTTTGTCTCCAGAGCAGCCACTTTGTTGGTGAAGGGAATGGGAAGAGAAATGTTTGCTGACATCCACAAATACCTTCTCTTGGATCCTGCCTGTCTCCCACCATTACCCTCTTCTATCCTTTATATGTTAATTAGAGGATCTAAATATGTTCTTTTCTGTTGTTATTTCTGTCTGTTCTGTTCCTGTTTGGAAACTGCCTTTTTCTAATGTCAAAGCTTTAGTCAGCTTATAGAACAGAACAGGACCCCCCTCTGGAGCCCTGATTTTATTTATAGACTGCAATGGTTTGGCCTCACATTTGCAACTCTGTTACTTCCATGCTCAGGGAAAGCAGTGGGCTGTTGCTTTGGGATCAACTGTCTGGGTTAACTTTCACTCTTTGATTTAAATGAAATAAATAGTCTGACACCAAGGGATCTGCACACAGAGATTGAAGGCAGTGAAATAACTCACAGGACCATGAGCACTGCAACACAAGAGAGTGCGCCCTGCCCTGTCCCTCCTGCCCCTCTGGGTTGGGGACCAGTGCAGTCCACCAGGCATGCAGAGTGGAAACTTTTGCCCAAGTTGCATGAAACCCCTTCCAGAGATGCTCTGTGAGCAGAACAAAGTCCCTCTTCCTCCCCAGCCCCTGCTGTGGCCACTGTAAGCAAGCCTATGTGAGGAAATGGTTAGACATAAATTAATAATGGGAACCCACTGAAACAAAATAGTTTGGGATAGTAAGAATTAAATGTATATTTATAATAGCATCCCCCTAAATCCCTTACATAGACACTTGTTCCAGGGAGGCAGCTTTTGTATTTGGGGTTAACAGAAGCAATACTTCCTATAAGTTTTTGAATATAATCAATGCACTTATGTATTCTAAACAACATTTATGCAGAAGCAACTTGTAAGGGACTAGATATCATTATAGAATTGCCTGAGAGACTCAAAACAAGCTGCAGTGGGAGACTTCAGGTTACCACTGCCTGATGTGCAAAACCTCTCCCTCTTAAGGTGCAGGACACTTTTAACAAGTGGCTTTTACAGTTCTTAGTCTTGCAATCAGCAAGCGCAGTAAGTAATGAGAAGCGTTCCCAGTGCACTTTCACTTTTCCAAATGCACAAACCCACAGCTGGAGAACTTCACCTTTACAATGTTATCGGTTGAACAAATGCACATTTGATATACTAGATGCTATGAGTGACTGGTGAGTGCACTTTTAAGAGAGCAATTCAGGGACATCAATTCAGAAGAATTCTCACTTCTCCCACGATGCCCTCAGAAGGCAGTCTAGCAACCCAGCTATACTGCCAGCTTCCACTTCAAGAACCTATCTAGATACTAAAAGCTTCTAGTCTGTCATCAAACACCCTCCGTGTAGCACAGGTACCAGTTTATCATCCACTTAAGGTAGCAAAAATCCTGATGTGACTACTTCAAGAAGAGACACAGCTTGCCCAATAAGGCTGCTCTTCTTCAGACCACTGCCTAATGAAATTACATTGTTAGCATTGTTCAGTAAAGTACAAAAACTCTGTAAAATAATTTGTTCCAATTCCACTTGTTCCATGTTCCCACCACTGTGATGTTATTGCAGTCACAAGTCTATTTCTATCCTTCAACTTTGTAGCTTGTGGTCACTGCAGCAGAGTGGAAACAAACTGTGAAATAAAGAAGTTATCTGCTGCCATGGGAACCATTTGAGAACCATAGCTGAGGCCAGCTTTGCCACTATTCCTGTTAGCATTTCTATCTCAGAGTGACTTTCTGACACCATTTGGAGGGTTAAGAGTGAAGAGATCCTAATTAAGATATAAGCCCATTACTTAATTCCTGGAAGAGATCTCAACAAGGGAACGTTTGGTTTATTAGTCCAAACAGCTTTGCCTCACTGGAGTCACGTTATTGTCACAATTCTCCTTGAACTCTGTATTCAATTCTTTGTATAAGGGTCACTTGGAAAAGAGGACCCCCACTTTATTAGGGTGATGTGTACAAATTATATATTGTTATAACTATCTCTGTTACCAGACAGAGAATATACAATGCTATTATATTAGTCTGAATTCTGTGCACATCATTTCTTAACAACATTACAGAGCATTTGTGTATACACAACTGCATTTCATCTTTGTTTCCAGTCCAACCAACTGAAGCCAGGATAAAAGATTCAGATTCTACTTCATCTTGAAGTCAATATATCACTGAAAAATAAAAAATAAAAATAAATAAAAAAAGAAAAAAAAAAAGAAAAGAAAAAAAAAAACACCCAGCCAATGTCACGGTGTCATTCTTCAACCTAAGAGGTGTAAGTCTGTCAGTAAGTCTGTCAGTTGAGCGAATATGCTGGAATTCATATCTGCGGCATTGTTCAACAAAGAAAAAGCAGCTTAAAACATCCTCTGAATCAGTGAATGTGAAAAAGACTGGAGCTGGCCTCTTTAAACAGATAATTGCATGAAACAAAGGGCTAGACATCATATTTTTGTGATGGTTTGTTTGGAAAAGAGCAATTCCATTTCACAGGGATGTAATGGTTTAGAAAATAGTTTTAACTCCATAAATTAATAAAACTGAGAGTTTTAACAATAAGGGAAAACAATCTGCACTACCTACATACACTTTAGTGTACAGAGCCCTCTGCCAGCATGTGGAGATGATTTCCACCCTTGCTCTTTTGAGGCTTCCAGCTCACTGGTGCCAGGCAAATACCCACTGTAAGGGATTTATTCTCAAGTAGGTGATTTGTACCTTCCTATTATGACCATAAATTCTCTACTGGGGTGAGAAACCTCCCCCAGAATTTCAATGCAACTGTTTTGGTTTTGTGACTTGTTCACATGGGAAATGGTTCCATTTTAATTTTTGTCCAGTTTAATTTTAGCATCAGGGAGAGTTCCCTCTTTTAATCTAAAGGAAAACTCCTGTGCAACTCCAGAATAGCACAGCTGATCTGAGTATTCAGCTCAGGGCAACTGAGAGCAAGCACAGGCACAGACAAAAGCAGCCCACTGCATCAGTGATATGAGAGCTAGCAAGTTTGGGGAGAGGGTGTAAGAAGTGCTATAGGAGTATATAGCAAGTAAGTGGATTTATGTTTTTCAGGAAGAGTGAAACCCAGCCTCTGTTCTGTTTGGAAATTCCTAAGGTAAGTGGAAATTAGCTCTGAGATGGAAATATGCTAAGCTGAAGTAGGAAGGCAGTGAGATTGCAGAACTGCTTGTTCCTATGAATTTAGGGGGCACCACTGTTAATCTTGTTTTTTGCTAGCTCTTGGTTTGTGGAGCGTTTCTGCAGTAGAGAGAGTTGATCTCCTGGTGAGCTTCAGCTTTCTTTTATTATTTTTTTTTCTTTTTATTTTTTTTCCTCCCTAATGCTTAATAGACTGTGAAGCTCTTGGGTTTGTATTCTTAAGCTTTTTCCTATCTGCTGTTAAATAAAGGTTGGCTTCTAACTTGAAGTGCAATGGTTTATAACAAATTAAGACTGCTAATGTGTTCCAGCGTTCTTTTTCTGGAAAGATTGTTCTGAAAAAGTCAATTTTCTGAATCCGTATGTTCTTAATGTTTATGATAGCTTCTAAGGAGTCGTATAGAACTGCTGAGCAAGTAAGTGTATATTTCCCCCAATATATCATCCTCACTAATAATAAGAGGAAAAACTTGTGCTACCCAACATCTTTCTTAAAAAATGTAGCCATGACATGGTGGTTTAGGGAGTTACTGTTTAATGGTACTGGTAATAGCTAGAGAACAAGCACTTATAATGCAGTAAATGTGTCTGTGACAAAAGTATTTACAAATTAAATCATAGGAAGTCTATTTCATTATGTTGCAGTGATCTAGTAAATAACGAGAGTCACTACTGTAATTAACACTAATGTTCAGAAATGTATGCAATGTATAATACCCTCAGAGCCTTGTGAAGTAAATCATACATTAAGGCCTAGAAGCTTGCTTTTCCTCTGCTAAATCTTCACTGGTAGAGCTGCTGACATTCATGTATGTGCATCAAGGTTGTGAAGAATTTGTTTAAACACCAGAACTAACAGGTGCAAATGATCTAAACCAATCCTGTGACCTGAATTTCAATGGGTTTGCTAGGGGAGAGAGGGACAAAAATATATCTTGTTGTCAGTTGAACTCCACTAAAAGCTTTCCTGTCACCTCCCCATCACACTGAATTTTCACTTAGTTTCAGATGAGGGCAAAGAGGTATAACTTACTCTCCCCAAATGTGTTAAAGGAATAAGGGTTAGGTTCAAAGGGGAAGCTAATCATAAAATGCTCGGGCAACTAAAGATCCACGGAGTCTCCCGGGCCTTCTCTTGGTGAAGTGTCACAGCTGATAGTTGGTGGGTCAGTGATGTGCTTTCATCAAACACACCACATCGTCAGGCTAAACTGTGTGCTTGCTTCAGGCCATTTCCAAATGCTTAGGTTAGTGCTCCCAGTAACCCCTGTGGGCTCCTGCTAGGACAGAGCAAGACCAGCTATAAGCTGGGTTTTCAGTTGTGGGTTTTTACATCGGTGCTCAATATTTTCTTTTTGCTGTGGCTGCTTGCTGTTATCAAACAGTAGTTCCTGAAGACAATTATTTAAGATCTCTCTGCAAAGCACTTGTTCCTGCTACTTCAGTTAAATGGCAGTTTTGTGTCTGCTTTCAGCAGGACCAGGCACACAGCTGAGCAGCTCAGATGTTCATAGGAGCTGGAAGTGGCTCAAAAATGTGCTTGGAGACAGGCTTCATTGAACAGTTGGCCCTTAAAAGAGGCTTGGTGGCTATGGGCTTTCTCTGCTGTCAGCACACCACTTCATGCTCAGGCTGCTCTAGATCTCAAACCTCCAACTGCCTGTGAAACCAGTCTCTGAGATGAACAGACATCTGCCTATGCACTTCAAGGAAAATATTTATTTTTATCTTTTTATTTATTTATTTTTTACTAAAACAAATGCCACTTCTGGTCATGAAGAAATAGCATAGCCTTTGATCACTACTGAAATCAATGGGAGCCAAATATAGTTGAGGAATAATAGCATTATGCTGTACATTATTTTCTATGAAATTGTCCGTGATAAAGTGTGCTTGCAGGCATGCTTACACTCTTAAACAGGTCATAAACTCAAATTAGCTCATTCTATGATATAGACCTCCCTGAAGCCTTAAAGTAGGTCAGTCAAACTGTTTCATTTATGCAGATCTTAATATCAATTATTCACACTGGTACTCGAGCTCTGATACAATCTCTTGCTCTTTCCTGCTACATAGCAAATGCAGATAGTGGGGTTGAGAGTCGTCTGGGATATTCATAGGTTGAATCACTTTTAATCACCTGTAAAGGCTATTTTGTTATTCCTGATAACACCAGTGAAAGACATGAAAGGGCTTGGGGATAAAAGTATCTCATCTTCCCTTTCGCTGTTCTGCCTGTAAACTCCACTAGGCAGAAGCTGTTTTCCTCTCTCTTTGTTCGGTGCTTGTTACAGTGAAGGCCTGTGCTACAGAAGCAAGTTGCCATCCTGGTGCTCAGAGGTCCCCCGTGGCTCTGCTGTACCTGAGCCTCAACTCTTTGCCTGCAGTAGTGCAATTGCACACGGGTCACACCAGGAAGCTTTCTGGAGTCACAGTAACAGATACCAGAAAATTCATTAGAAATTCAATGTTACAAGCTATTGACTTGTAGCTTTTGTTCAATGAAATGTAAAACCAATTTGATCATGGAAGGATTTGTGGTTTTTTTTTTTTTTTTTTTTTTTTTTTTTTTTTTGATAACAGTTCTTTTTAGAGGCCACATTTATCAGCAGGAGTTTCTTCACTCCTCATTTGACAGAAGTAGTTTCTAATGCTTAGGGCTGTTTATCATTCACACAGAAGCAGTGTTTTAAGTGTCTTAAGAGGAACTGAATTTAAGATTTTTTTTGTATTTATTATTTCTTTGTGGATAAATGAGCCTGTGGAAAATGCCTTCCTCCTCTGCATGGTATATTCCTAGGGAAAATGTACATGTCATATTGGATGCATGACAATATTCTTTGGAAAAGAACAGTTGCATCAATACCATCAAAGTGAATTGCTACTGAATTCTTTTTACACTAAGCATAATAGCACATGGTTATTTTACAACAAAATCCTGGAAGACCACTAGTCTAGTCTGACTCTCCTCTCCTCTAGAGGTACTGCTCTGATGTCCAGGCTTTCTTGCTAGAACCCCACTGACCCCATTATGTGTTGTCCCATATGCATATCCCTTCCCACCTGTTGAATGTAATTCGTGCTGTATGATCACCTCTTCTGTGAATGCATAGTCCTGCTACCTTTTTCCTGGAGTTTCAGCATGTATTAGATCCTGCTGGTACAGACAGCTATTAACTCAAAATAATAAAAATTAATCCAAGTCTATGGCTGCTGTCCCTTGTCAAACTTCCCTATGTTGTGGAAAAAGGTGTTTAGAAGTGTGTTCATGTAGGTTATAATAGTCTGGAATATCTCAAGTCACAAAGTATTAATGTCTAATTCTATTTAGAATCATCCATATAATTCTTATTAAGTGTTAGGTATTAAATAGGAGTTTTATTCTAGGTACTTAATATCAAGTAGGCTAATAGCTAATTATACATATGACTTTTTTTCTTCCTCAGTTATTATGGTGTTGTGCTAACCAAAAAGCCTGTTTGGAACTTGGACAATAAGTGTGGGGTTTTGTGGATTGTTTTATTGATGGGCTGGGTGTTGTGCCCCCACAACTTCATTAGACACCTGGGAGCTTCTCACTGACAGATGGCTGTGTGCCGTGATGCTCTCATTACCTAAATTTGCCTGACTTCAGGGTCACTTCCTATTTAATTGAAATAGGACCATGGCAGAGGGCTGAGCTAGAGGAGCAGCCTGCAGCTGACTGAAATGCTCTAAGCTGAGTTTTACTTGTCTGCAGACAGAAAGCAGAGACTGCCTTTCTTTTTGACTATCCTATTTTTATTGCCAAGCAGAAGAGGGATACTCAGGCAATCTTCCAAGACAGAAGTTTGATCTCTCTGAAAACTTGACTGTGGGATGAAAATGCTTAAATCTTGCCTGCATCTGCCATGCAGAGCATAACAATTACTCAGGGCACGTGGTACCAAAGCAGCCTTTCCCCTGGACCACAGGTGAGCTGTCATCCACTGCTGATTCACCTGCTCAGGATTTTCCTGCACGTGTATGTAAAATGTGGATGAGGCTGTTTTCTGGTAGGTAGATGTTTGCATGGTGCTCCAGATATGTCTCTTTATGTTTTGGGGTAGAACCCATCTCCTGGAGCAGATGGAGGTTAATGGCATTGATTTCATAGAGCATAAATAAATCATTTTGAATACAGATAGAAATACAGTAGAAATGTTTTGCCTCACCTTTTCAGTTTGTTCCAATTTTCTTACTCCTGTGACTGTCATGTGGAAGGCAGACTTTTTTTTTTCTAAATTCCAGTGACATGCCTCACTCGTCATGTGGACACTTTGTTGTGGACACTTTACAGCCATCTGCTCATTTCTGCTATAACCATGGCTTCCCTCCATAAAACAGGGAGGACAGACGAATTAAAATGATAGATACTGGGCACTATATATCTGTAGATGCGTCTACAGAATAGATGACCCTTTTCAGGAGAAAAAGGAGCAGAGATTCACAGGCATGAGTTGCCTACACGCTATACAAGAAGTATCTGGAGACACTTTCAGTTCTTTGACGCTAAGCAGTTGCTGATGATGTACAGTATTTCTGTAAGATCCACATTAATTTCAGGAATTGTTCTTTATAACTTAGCAAGTCAAACTTGCATTTGTCGTTGCCATAGGCTGTGTGTTTTTTTTGTTTGTTGTTGTTTTTTTGTTTGTTTTTTTTTTTTTTTTTAGTACAACTATATTAAATTGTCCCATCTAGCATTGCAAATTACCTGTAAAACCCAGATTAATGTGGCTTTGTGCAAAAAATAAAACATGGCAAGAAAAAGTGACCGATAAAAGAGGTTACCACTGCTATCTTGGCTGGGGTGGCATCCCTTGGGCTGGTGTCCATGTAGTACACCTTCATTAAACAGGTGAAGGACAGCAGGGACACAATAGGCTTCCACCATTCTTGAACAAAGCCCTTTCCTGTAAAGGGAAGCCTGAGATG